GGGAACGCTTCACGGATTTCCGCTTTTTCCGACGAGTTTCGCTCTCGCGGACCACGTTGTCTGGTTACATACGAACCGTCCTCACTCGTGTCAACCTTACTATTCATATTTTCATGAATTTTCATTCGCCGTTTGCAGAATTGTTCGTTACTTCGCGTGTATTCGCGCGTGTATTAGCGGATGCGACGAGCAGACTATTGATTTGGAATTTTTGCAAGATCACAACGTGGTTTTCTTTTTTTTACTCTGATAAATCGTCAAAATGTAAATGCGCAAATCTCTCAAACGGTGGAAAGCGCGAATAATCTTTATTCGACGAAAATGACATCGGATTACTCGCCCCAGCGGTTCTCCGGCTTGCTCTTCAATTCCGCGTCCAAATGGAGAGAATTCTTTTAAAGTAAAGGGATTTTTCGCACAAGCTTTGTTGTCAATTATATTACCTATCGCTTGAATAAATTATAATAAGTTTTTTCCAAGTATTTTCACTTCAAGATTTTAATTGACGAGGAATTATAATTTTAGAAAATATAGCAATTAATTTTGTGAAATTCCTTTTAATAGAAAAATGTCAAATTAAGGAAAACAATGATCGATTGAAATTTTCTTACCAGTAATCAAGTCATTCATTCAAACTAAAGTTTTTACGCAGAAAAGATTTTTTTTCCACGCAGAAAATAAATGCCTTTTGTTTCACGAGGTTGGTCTGATGATTAAATGTATTTCGCAAACTTCCACCAACTTCTCAACGCGAAAAGACAAAGATAAATCTGTGTTTGCGTGATGGCGTCGTACCGACAAATAAGCCACTTGGCGCTGCACATTGACTTTCGCGCTTTCATAAATTTGAATTCCGGACTAAAGAAATAGCTCGTTATCTCGTGCATTTGCGCCCGTGGCTGCACACCTGGTGCGTCTTTGCAAATTTCTTTTCCTGTCGCGATAAGAGGCGTATTCTCCGTCGTCAAGGTACGTTTACGAGGAAGCGCAGATCTTAAGCGCGTCTGCCAAGAAATTAAGTCCACGCAACGCGGTTGTTTAATTTTCGCCTCTCTGACGAGAGGTTTTAAGTAATTAATACCTAACTAAGACGGATCTATCAAATGCCAGCCAAGGATACTCGAACTTTTTTAATTTAAAACTCCAACGGCGATAGTCTGATACACTTGGCACACCCACACAAAGAGCGATTTTAATACACTCAATGACATAAAGCTGATAACCGATATTGTGCCATTAATAAGCTTAACTGAAGTACCTGTTGCAAAACGCCAATCAGTTGTTTTTGTAAAATTGCACATACCAATGATAGAATGTAATACATAATATATTAAACAAGATCATAAGTTTTTTGGACAAAATCTCAACAATTTATTGGAGTAATGCAAATGTTTTAATTGGATTGCTGCATAATTTATTTACCAATATTCGTATTTATCCACAATCGATATTCCACGGCATTGAACATGTTAAGAAACAGGGTAAAAAGGCAAGCAACGTATAGACAAATGCCAAAATTAAAATCAACTAACCCAGTTACGGATTGAAAGTTCCGAATCTGTTTTTCCTCTAATAGAAATCCGTTCTCTCCAATTGTAATCACAATTCGCGAATCCTAATATATATAAATGCGGCTAAAAACAAGCAGAAAAAATAAAAGAAAATGTAGCGAGAAAAGTAAGCTTTTTTAATAAAAAAAAAAAAAAACTTCACGTTCTTTAAACTTTTCTGCAACGTATGCACATACGTGTGTACGCCTTTGGAAAAGTTTGCGGTTTTATTATCGATCTCGGAAAATAATGAATAGCTTCGAATACGCTAGGATTACTTGTACACATAAAATTTCTGATAGCATCTTTTATGCAACATCAGCCCTTTCTTTGATATAAATCAGTCGCGTGCGTTTAATCGCGAACACATAATTCGACGTAACGAAATGTTACGCCAAGTAGCTCGTTACGAAGTTTACGACCTAGACGCCGGGACGCTCCGTACTCACTAATAGCGATTGCATTAACGCAAGTAAAGTGTACGGTACGCTGAGGGAAATGTGTTCGCGCCAGGATAAAACGATTCATACGCAAGTTATGCGGTGACATAAATTTGAATACGGTTTACGCGCCCGCGTTATACGCGCGACCGCACGCTGCATCGCAAATTAAGTAAAATTTCATTCTGGCACTCTCGTATTTACGTCCCGACGGGACGCGCGTGTACGGCACTCTCTCTTAAAGCGAGATTGTAACACGGTCCGGCGCACGTATACGGAGCGTATACAGACGGTGCAAACCTAGTTAACCCTCCGCTATCGCATGCTCTGAATGCCGCCATAAAAATGTGCATCCTCGACACCGAAATCAGATCTTCCCAGAAATAGAGCGCCAAAGTTAGAGCTGCTTTTCCAGAACGGTAGTTTATTCCGAAGAATCGCAATGCCCACTTACAGATATCGAACATATCGTGCGGATGACAACAGAAAATCAATTGACCTACATAAACCAGCAATTCGTTAAATTCCGACTGGTGGCGATACATCGTAAAGTGATAATAGAATGTATCCAGTTAATCCTGTTTCCGGCGTGAAATATTTCTGTATCAATGTCAAGATTTCAAAACGAATAGAGTTATTACAATCTGTTCGTATAAAATACCGCGCGTTCCGTTTTGCCGGTAAATATTACATATACGATAAAAAGAATATTGCATTTGAGAAAAAAATGCTCGCGATATCTGATAAATTACAAAATTTGAATTATTTTCTTGACTAATTATTAAATTTATATATGAAATTTATGTTAAGATATTGAAATGTAATATTAAAAATTAGACAAAGGTATAATAGGAAGGGAAATTGAAGAGTCCGCTTTTCTTTCTTTGTTTCAGCTGTCAGAGGACATCGGGTATGTCGTTTACTCTGCCCTGGGCAGCTTCTACATCCCATCCTGCATCATGGTCTTCGTGTACATACGTATATACTTCGCTGCCAAGGCTCGCGCGCGTCGCGGCATCCGGAAGCAGCCTCGTCCACGTGCGGCAGTGCCGCCGGAATCGCCAGACGTCAGGCAAACTAGCTTCACTCAGAGCACGCCGGCAACTGATACCAAGAAACCTCCGGGATTAGTCATGGAGAATGTCGCGACGATTGAGAACCAGCCGGTCCAGATACCGATTGTCACGTGCGACTTCGCCAGTGACGTCAGCACGTCGGAGGCTGATCCCGGCGGAGGCATCAGTATACCGTTGGAAGAAAAGGACACGTTGAAGGTAGAGTTTCTTACGGAGAGTTTGATCAGTACTTCTGCGCGATCGAAACAAAGTTGAAACTTGAAATAAAGTGCCGAAAAAGGAGGAAGTTACTAGTTGAAATATTTTCGACAAGAAGTGTTATTTATCTTGGAATGTGAAGCTTTCTCAGTGTGCGCGCACGCGCTTCTAATTCCAACTCAAATAAATTAAACGACCGTAAATTAGAGCAAGCTATTTACGTTGCCGTTGACGTCTTTAATTCCGAATCACGATGGCGACAATTACTTATTTGCACAGCAATCTCAGATTTCGTGTTTGCTAGAATGAACATATTATTTCGATTTCGTAACGATATTGCAACCATACTTGACACTCGTCCGTCATGTTCGTACAGCGAGAATGATGGGAAGGCAATTCCCGCACATTTCAGATTCCCTTTTATTAGATTCTCCGATTATCATTTTCTTTCTGCACGAATGCGTGTATCGATATCATTCGCTATTACTATCGGAGTGTATCACATATCGTCGCTATCCGCAAGGAACGTGAAAGTAGAAGTAGTAAATCTTCGGAATCAGACATATCGTATTGGAATACAGTTCTCGAAATCGAATCAGCCGGAGGTCTCGGGAAGAGAAAGCACAATACCGCACCGTTATCGGTATCACAGATCAGGATATGCGATCAATCGATCATGTACGAGCTTCTTTCGCCAGTCCGCGCCAGATTACCGCCTTTCATCGCATCTCGCAAACTGTATCTCGATACCTTGATAAATTAAAGTCCGTATATCGAGAACATTCTACCGACGACAATCATATTGCTTTACGTCAAATATCATAAAATTGATACGCGACTCCATCTCCGACGAGAGGATATTCCTCCGCCGAGAGATACGTCAGTCAATATTCATGATATGTACACAACGCACGTTCGGGCGACAATAGATCTATAATTACACGTCGAAGTTACTAGCATTAGCGCTCGTCGTATATTCTATTGCTGCTATTCGCATTACGGCAAATGAATATTCATCGTTCTATATAAGCGATATAAAATCTTCGATACTCGAACGCACGTTTCCCCGTGTCGATGAAATTGCGATAAATAAATTTCGTACGCGGCACTCTAAATTTCAAGATTGGGTTCCGTTTGTTTGTCAAGATTACACGCGCCACTATGCGCCGCGGAAAATTCGTAGACCTGAGCGAGGTCGCGTTTATAATTACGTACGAAAATACAGTTTTACGCTGGGGCAGGGAGATAATTGCACGGGGATGAGTTCCCCATTCTGACTGTCGCGCAATTACGCGAGTTCTCGTTCAAACTTGCGCGAGAACACGCTCGCCTTTGTTACCTCGGGCTTCGTGTAACAACTGCATGTCAAAGACTCCCGCGATAATCCCGCTTGTTCGTATGAAAATCATACATCGCACAAGACAGTTCCAGCGATTCTATCAAATTCGAACAAGTATGAAAATTTAACTAATTTTTAACTTTAATATATGTGAAACGTGAAATTAATTTCACGTAAATATGAAATACATTGAAACGTATAATATGTGGAATTTATTCTTGATGTTAAAATCCAATAGATTAATATATATCACAGTTCTTTTTAATATATATGCGTAATGTTACTCAAATTAATTTATCTCATAATATTTTATATAAAAATTAAAAATATGAAAACTAAGGGTTTTTTTACAGATTAGGAAGTTTCAGTGTTTTTAACATACCTCACAAATTTACTGCATATTTAAAATCTTATCTCAAAACTAACAAGTGAGTCTGTAACAATGTACTGTATATGTCTGCAAGATTACAAAGAACCCGCCCTAGCGAAGTAGCATGCTCACACAGCACTAAACAGTGCTGATATAGCCTGACTGTTGTATCGTGCACATGCATAAAACATGCAGCGATTATTTCATGATTTAACTAAGCTTCATTTTTTGAGATAAATTTTCGAATTAAATTTTATCTCAAACAGAAATAATTCCATTCCAAAGAAAAACTTGGAAAATTGCAAATTTACTCTCCGCCTGTGAATAAAGAAAAGAGACACACTGACATTAAAATATCTAACACACGCGTAATGAATTTTGTCCGCAGGTGAGCGTGCCGACGCCGGCGCCAAAGACCAATCTGAAGGCGAGCCTGTCAGTGAACGGGGACGGACAGTCGGGCAATCAGAACGTGCCGGCGCGATGCCGAGCGCCCAGCGTCGGCATCGACGTCGACATGGTGTCCGAGTTCGATCCGTCGTCGTCGGACAGTGGCGTGGTGTCGAGATGCGCAGTGGTGAAGCCGCTGAAGTTACGGCTGTGTCAGCCGATCTTCGGTCGCAAGCACATAGGTAAGTTGAAGAGGGATCACGGCGACGCGTCGCGGCACGCGTGCAAAGACGATTCCGGCGACAAGGGAAAGCCGCGCGACCCGGAGCGTGAGAAGAGGAGATTGGCGAGGAAGAAGGAGAAGCGCGCCACGCTGATCTTAGGCTTTATAATGGGCAGCTTCATCGCCTGTTGGCTGCCCTTCTTCGTCCTCTACATCGTCCATCCCCTCTTCCCCGACTTCAATATACCCACGCAGGCCTTCGTAATCGCCTTCTGGCTCGGCTACATGAACTCGGCGCTCAACCCTTTCATCTACACGGTCTTCAACAAGGACTTCCGCCGCGCATTCCGTCGGATACTGTTCAAATGAGCCATACAGTATAGCGTCGACCAAGAGGGACGCTAGCGACAACTTTCACATTTTCCGTCCTCGGGTATAGCCAATACCGATCGTACCTCGAGGACATCTTCCCGATTGCGTCAGTCACGCAACAGTCGATCTGTTTCCTCGGCAGAAACTTTGATCGCAAGAAGAAGGCGAAATTGTATCGGCGTTGCGAGGAAATCCGCGAAAGATGGAATCGGAAATGCGCGAGAAGTTTGCGACAGAAGGCGTTCCGGATCGGGAGAAGTTTGCCAGCTGAATTTTTTCGGAATGCAAAGCGAGTATCGAGAGATGCAGAAACGCGCGTGTGTGTGAAAAACGCTCTGACGAGCCACGCCGTTTGCTGACGCCGTTTGTACGTTCCTTCGGCAACCTTTGTCATCTTTCTCGAGAAGAGGGGACTTTCCTTATGACGTACAATCCGGGGATATTAAACTACATGCGTTTGCACGTCATTTTGCAGCCATGAGATTTATAGCTCTGGCCGGAGAGAGAGAGAGAGAAAGAGGAAGCTTTAAATATATCACGACGTCCGAGAAAATTTCTCCCGCGTTATCGAGCAAACAAGATTACGGCGGAGAACCTCGAATTCCTATCGAGACGGGATGTCGAGAATGTCTCGATCACTGGATCTGCTAAATTATGCACGCCGTAACCATCAGGATTGAATCTATCGCACCAATTCACACGGACTCTGTGCATGATGCATGCGACAAATCAACGACAAATCAACCTGCGAAGAGTACGCCTCGGCTGGCCGAAGAAAAGACCATCCGCCACACATCCGGAGCGTATTTTCGGATTTACGGTGTATCCTGCAAAGCGAGTCGCCTTCGTAGACCAAGAGGCAGCATATCGCTCCTTCCTCCATTTGCGCATATTTCTTTTTTATTGTTACTCTTTTTTTTTTTTTTTTACTTGGGCCGCTCTTCCTTGACAAAAGAATAACCGGAGAAATGTGGGATGTACGATATGCGCAACCGCTCGTCCCGGCCGCTCGTTCCGGATGGAGGACACAACTTCCGTGCCTAATCTCTTGGTCGCGTTGATGAAAAGGGCATGACAATCTAAAGTTGCGTACGCGACGCAACGTACGCGCGCTCGCGTGAATGTACTCGGCGGTCGTCGCGCAGGAAGATTTGTACGGGTTGCGAATTTCACTGCGTGTTATTCAAGCGTGCAATTACCGGTCGGCCATCGTATCGACGGATGCGGAATGCAATGCGGGGATGCAATTACAAGAGAGTTCAATCGTATGCATGTACTGTGTGCGTACTACGCGCGATATCGACGGATGACGACGATCGCGGGAAGAGGAGGAGCGGAAGATTCTGCAAATACTGCAAATCGGCCGCGCGAACACCAGCCAGCGTTAGAAATCGTCGGCAGATTTACTGACAAATAAATAAGGTTGCGAGAGGGTGTGTAAGATACGTTTCCTACTAATTAGATAATCGCGCGTCGCGTGGGCCCCCCCTGGGAGAGAAAAAGGGGGGAGGAGGGGCCCCTTAAACGTCCGGCGTTCCAATCGTGAGTCTTCGATGTTACTATTAACGCAGGATTACGCATGTATAGCATTTAACAATTCTGTCACGTACGTGCAGGCTGTATGGATTTTGCGTGCATGTGTGCGCACGTGTGCCAACGTGATTTTTTTCGCACAAAGAAAAGTGCGAACGGCGTGAAAAAAAAAAAAGTTTTATCCGACACGCAGATCCTCCTATCGCAGCCTAACTGTAGAGCAATAATTAATTTCGCGTTTCGCCGAAACGCTCGTTCGTTCGAGCGAGATATCGCGCGAGAGTAAATCGGCGCGAAACGATCAATCGCGGATTGTGTCCTCGACCGCATATCGTTGATATGTGCACGGGGCGGGTGTGCGCATACGCGCGCCATCGAATGCGCGATGACTGATCACTTTTGCGTCGCAGGGTCCAAAATTGAACGCGAATCTAGATAAAACTGGAACGAAAAGCGCATGCAGATACATTCCGTTGCTCAAATTTATTTCCCATCCTAAACGGGTACTTCGACCGGCGTTCAATCACACTTACGTTTGCTCGGGCTCACGACGGATGTGTTCTGTATCGAGCTGTGTAACTGTTAACGGGCGAACGGCACGGTATAATCGACGGCATGATTGAAAGCGACCTGTCAATTCTTTCCAAAAAAAAAAAAAGGTACAGAATAGATTCGCAATTTAATTAGCACGAGATCACTTCTAAGACAAAATATTTTTTTTTTTTCCGGAAAACCCGTGTCTGCCAGCAAGCAGATGCGTTAGCACGCAGCGATTACGCTTCTCACAAGACAATCATACGCGTAAAGGGAACGCCCGCGAGATGGAGGAGAGAACAAACACCTGTGTTCGCTATTGCGCGGGAAAACATCCTTCCTCATTTCGTTCCATCAAGCCGGAGATTTTCACGGCGGGCATTCACTTCTGGGGGATGTTCCGACGCGAGAAACATTTTCGGATTTTCCTCTTCCGTTATTCCCAAAATAGCCGTGCCACTTTTCTCTGTTTGTCTTACTATTTTCACCATTTGACGAGCAAAAAAAGAATGGTCACGGTAAGCTCCGAAAAACACACATACGCATACACATGCGCGCGCGCGTACACTATAAATCCTGTATGCCCGGAACAGCGTGTATGTAGCGGAAATGTACGCACTTACGCACGTACGTGACGCGCAATACACCACAACGATAAATCGATAAATACAGTCTGGTGTTGTGTAAGAGTGTGCCCGTGTGTCTGTTCTGTTGCCTGCTGCTGCGTGAATGCGTGCGTACGTGTGCTCTCGCATCTCGCTCTCCATCACTCCCTTCTTTGTTCCTGTTTAACTTTCTAAGACCCCCCCGAGGGACCTTTCTCTTAAACGTTCTCAGCTATTGTTAGCTTTAACTTCTTCAATAATGCGCTCATGCTGCTTAAAATCCTTAACTTTCGTTTATTTTTAATAAAATTATGTTAATATAACGCACGATTTATTACAATACACACACACGCACATAAATTTATTATATAATTTTATTAAAAATGTGGAGCATTTGAGAATATTGAAGTTCCTAAAATTCTAGTCTATTCTTTCTTTCTTTTTTTTATTATCTTTATCGCAAATTTTCATTTTTATTGTTTTCACTGCTGAGCCTGCAATAAAACGGTGGATGAAATCGATGGAAAGGGGGTAATTTGCGAGGATAGCGAGTAATCACGGGTGGTTGGATACGAGCGAATCAATATGAGGTTCGTTGATAAGACGATGGCATTCGTTCGACGGATTATTAGCATAGCTGGAATCGATAATGGCGCGCGCGCCCCACCTTTCTTCAAAAGAAAGGCGATAAGAGAAGAAGAACGCGTGTTTCTCCACACTATGGCAATCGATTGCACCAACGCCGCGGTCGTTGGACCCGCCGTGGTTATATTTACGTCGGGTTACCATACGGCAAATATGTGAACGGGGCCTTGTGTGAAAGTCACGTGTGCTCGACGCGAATATTTAAACACAACCGCAACTCGTTGTTCCCATTATGCTGGTCGGCTCTTCTTCCGTCGGAAACGAAAGCACGCGTTTTTGATCTCAACATTAGTAGTGTTACAACTACATCTGAAGGGGAAACGAGATAATTTTTTTCTAATCGATATTTTGTTGATTAAAATGTATGTAATTTATGAAAATGTTTTTTCGTAGATGAGCGTAATATATGTAGTACGTTTTTCTGATGAAAAACATGTTTCTTTTTAAATTTCAATCTCAGTTTTTATTGTAAGAACGGAAGCAAATCAGAAAGATTTTTTTAATTAATATTTCGCACACGGATTATGTAATATAAAATAGCTGTTTCATATTGAAGCCAGCGCATTTATCTCGTACAAGCAGTTGATAACCAAATAGTTATTGTGAGAGTGCATTTGCTTTAGAATTTATTACTTTTATTTAATACACTATATTTTATTAATCATTTTATTTTAATACATATCTATAAAATTTACTCTTTATTATTGCAATTCCAAAATCACTATTATATCATGTATTGTGTATCGGTACTATTTATAATCTTTCTTTTGACAAACCAAAAATGTCTGAAGACAAAATTTTCTAATAAAAAATGATTGGCATAATGTCAATGAATAATTAAATAAAAACTAAGAATATATCACTTCAAATATTCTAGTCTTCGCGAATTATAAATTAACGACACGATTATCGAATATTATCCTCTATTTATACCGCGGCTAAATGGAGAAAATGTCGAGAGCGAGATACAAGTGGACACATCGTTTCGAATGAAATATCGACGAGTAAGACAGATCGTAAGCGATTTCCAATGTGTGTGTGTGTGTGTGTGTGTGTGTGTATGTGAGTGTGTGTGAAGCATTAGCGAGTAAAATGTAAATGGCCGTGCAAAAGGAAATACCGTGAAATCACCAAGATTGAAGTAAATATAAGTAGCGTGTAAGTATTATTATGACCGTTTACCAATTGTCATCAATTAATACGTGTAACACCAGTCGCTTTAGGCGTGGTGAAGATTTTTTGCAAACAAGTCTTTCGGAAAATCTCTGTGTGTCAGTATCCCAGTTATCTACTTTACGTAAAAAAAAAAAACGATGTTCTCTAAGCGGTAATGTAAGGTACAGTGACGATTTCGAGGTTAAGCTATCGTAATCTCCGCTCGCGGGCCGTAACGGTCGCAGCAATCTGCGCGAATTACTACGATCATTACGGCATTACACTTATATACAATTTGACTCCAAAACGGTTCGCGACACGCCACTCGCGAACTGCTAATGTAACGCAAACGCACTTGAAACTGACATACACCTGTACACACGTGTATATTATTACTGTTATTACCATTACTAATATACTAACTATTAATTAGGTATTACTAATCAAAGTAGGGATCCAACGATTGACTTTATCTGTTATTTCCAATTCACCGACGGCGGTGGTCCTTGCGTCGCGCGAATTCATCGCCGCATCCGTCTTGTTGTCGCAGGAAAATCCAAAGAAAGATAGCGCAAAAATCACTTTGGATTTTCCGCCAACGGAAGAGGAGACGAAAATTAACGCTAGTCCGAACGAATTTGTCGGCTTCAAGCCGTCCGTTCCAGTTGCGAGCAGCCCGGTGGAGCGAGGAAGTTTATTCGTCATAGAAGAATAGGAAGGACAAAAGATAGGAGCGCGGAAACACGAAGGTGAACGGGTCGCGATTATTTTCCCCGGGAACACAAATCCCACGGCTCAGACTTCATTTGCCCAGCCTCCCACTGCGAATTAAGCACTTCCGCCCAACTGAAACGCGCGACTTAGAACGTCGTTATAATGCGGGAGCATTGCGAGCGCCGGATTTATTGCGGCCGCGATAAAACGGCGTTTTTATCTTACAATCGGGGCCGCGCGTGCGGAATTATCGCTGATGTGCGCGCGTATGGTCGCCGCGATTCCTCTCTATTTGGCACGAATTTCCGAATTTTCGGAAGAAACGAACCGCATCGACCTCATGAAGGAATTTTTATAGTTACGCGAATCGGGTACGACTGAGAGACGACGTTCCGGATTATTCAAGTGTGGAAGGAACTCGTTTTGCGCTGCAGTTACACGCACGACAATCGATTTGCTGCAACGAGAAGTGTTATTCGGAAGAAGAAAGAACGTATCATTACTCGTGAGCTTGCTGGCCAAGCGAAAATTGGTGTTAAAATTATTTTCCCAGTAGCTTGAAATCGCAATGGCGATTCCTTTATTAAATTGATTATGAGATCTATATCAGTTTGTCATACATTATTCTTTCGGGAAAGAATAGTGTCACGTTTATTTGTTGGTTTTCACATGTAGAAGATTTATTTCTGTCATGTGAAAACCATTCGATCGCGTAACCATCCAACATCATTAACCATATTTTCACGATTGTAGCAGAAAAACTCGTGCCTGTACTGCTTCATAAACTGTAGTTGCTGGTAAATTGCGAGAAATATTGACGGGATCATCGGTGGAAAAAGTAATATCTTATTGTCCAACAGATTAATTAACACGAGATGAATGGACACCGCGCGTCAATTTCGCACATCGGTTTAACATAAATCCGCTGTGCTGAGCTGCTTGCGCATTACGAATAATTTTGGCTCGTATTTCACCGTACCTTTTTAAATGTTGCCCGTGCTCGTTACGAAGAGGTCGTTTGTGTCGACCGAGATTTATGTTCCCGTCATCGCCTCGCCGGATTTATGCGCTCGTCGGACGACTCGGATCCGAAACGAGCGATGCGATCGCCGTGCGGATGCATTACGATGAATTCTCGCATCAGGGACACCGCACCGCCGGCGTACTTTTACTCTATCGATAATATTGGAGCAATGAAATCACTGTGATATCACTAAAACGCTTTCAAAATGTGCGACGGGATTGAGAACAACGCCACGTGAAACTGGCGTGGGCGAGAGAGAGAGAGCGAGCGAGCGAGCGAGCGAAAGAGAGAGAGAGAAAAAGAGTTAAAAATAAGGGTGAAAGGAGAAAATAATAGGAGAGAGAGAGTGTAGAAATTTACGCTATATCGACTACCGTAAATTACTGTAAAGCGTATATTATATGTATATATATACACACACGCATACATACGAACGATTGACTATATAGAGATATTATGAAACTTGTATTATTAATCGGAAGAAAATCTATATATATTATATATTACGAGATTATATATATATATATATACATAATATATTGAGGACTAAACTACTATTATTGTCGATATTATATCATTGAAACTATTATCATCATATTACGATTACTATCATCATTGTTAGTATTCACTATTATCGATGCAAAAGTCCTATTGTCTAATAGCGTTGATTGTCTGTTATAGAGAATGAGAGTAATGTTGCAACACAGATTAAAAGAAAAAAACTTACGAATACAATTAATAGTGCTATTTACGAGAGACGTTTTACTGTACATAGAAACTAAACGCCGGGCGCGCCCAAAGCTGATCCTTCGCGATTAACACGCGATAGAGCCGGGAGAAATCACGGTGAGGATCGGCTCTAGCCCGTGAGCGACTTCTGACACGTAGGGCTTAGATATTGTAAGTATCGGTTTCCCAATTGAAAGATCGGATATTGACGACAGTCCATTAAATGGGAGTTCTATAGAGACAATAGCGATCACGCGTTATGAAATTACGAGGCTAGGTTCGGCACAGAAAGCGAACTCCGAGTGTGGAGACAACTGAAACTTCGAGAGCACGTTTAGCGTTCCCGGCTTTTCTAGATTATCGAACATTCCTGTCAGCTATAGCGGCTGACATAAACTAGTTAGAGCACCTCCTCTGTAACTTGGAACGTTCTATTTTCTCCCTAATTTCATAACGTCAATGTACAATATATCTTTCACATTCTAATTTAATGTATTTTATTTATTAAATAATGAATATATATTATATATATATATAAATATACTGTAAAGAAAGCTATCGTAGTGCTAAAAAGACTTTCGAGGAGAAACTATTATTTTTTTAAACTGTTTAGGGTCACAGGAAGATAATTATGAATAATCGTTGCGAGACGACGCGCTTCTGCGTTCACTGTCCAAAGTGTCCAAAGCAACAAAATCAAAATTCTGGGATGACACGGCACGCTACGTCGCGCGGGAAAAAACGTGGATTCGCAATCTCGGATTTAATTACAGTTTGAATGAAAAAGTCGGGTTTATTTTACAGACAATTCGTTAAGCTCGCGCGTCACGATACGTATTTTCTTGCCAGTGTCCGTGTCCGTTGTCCTCGCAGATTGCGGTGCATGTTATCCGGTATGGCGCATAACAAGGGTCGCCGTAGATTTGGCGTCGCGGGAGACCGGGCACGTGTGGTGTGATTGATGTAACGCGATTATGTAAATGCCAACGAAAAGAAGAGGTTGCGCGCGATTGCTACGACCGGATCACACTAGTTACACGTGGCAAAACATGCTCGGAAAATAGCGCGGGACGTATCGCCGAGCGACGCGAATCGTAACAAGCAGCATGTATGATAAACCCGCACTGCAACAAAATACGCTATCCAAAGGAAGCACGCTGAGGCCGCGCGGGCTCTGACGAATATATTCAAAACGTCACAAAGTAGTTAACCCCATTAATGATTTATGGCCGTTTTCATACGCTTGCGAATTTCGCTCCGCGTGACGTAGCGCGTTTGCCGCCATCCGAGTTGCAAACACGACCCGAGCTCGGAAAACTGAACACGCTTTCGAGGTATTCGAAACGCTGTGCGTACACGCCGAAGTCGCATTTTGCGTCAACGTAGCTTAAAACGTCACCCTTGCACAGTAAGGTGACGATCGCGGTGTGAGCGTCTGACAAGCATCGACTCACGAGCATTATATTATCGCCGATTGCAGCATGCATTTTTCAGCAATATGTTTCTTTAAGTCAATCTCGACGTTACAACGATTCCACCGCGCGGCAGCAGTTGCACCGGTAATATATACCGGTTATTAGAAAACTTTTTGCAATAGAGCGTGTTTCTGATGTGACAAACACTAACATACCGTGAAAGTTAATGTATAAGTCTTAAAAAAAAAAGTATCACTATGATAACTTTATAGTTGCTTTGCACCGACTACTTTAGCGTTTCTTATATTTCAAGTATGGTGATTCAAAATCTCTCTAGCATTTTCTTTTAAACAATTTCGTGTAATCGATTTGTACAATCCACATATTCCTAGGCTTACTTTCTCACTCTACCGTAATAACATTCGTTATGCCTTTGTGTGTTTGATCCACGATAGTTCCATTTCAATCAACCCTTTGAAGTTTCTGTTTGAGCAGTGATAGGTCCGTTCAAATAAGGACTCTAAACAAGGTATTTCAGAGTAAAATTGAACGCTATGAGTAAAGTGGCCAACCCGATTTAATGTTGTAAAAAACTTTCAAAAACTGAAATATTAATATTAATAAATAAAACATTTAAAACAAAGGTGGATTAATTATAATTTAAAAGTTTTACTTTAACATAATATTGCGAACAATACGCGTCTTTAAAAATTATAGAATTATTGCATCCTTATTCTGAATCGTTTAGATATAAGTAGAAAATGTTGAGTTTTTTTTTCACAAATTTGAATAATCGATATTTATTAATGTAAGAAATTAATGCAAATTGAACTTTATTTTTTTTTTAGCAATATAAGAAAAATCCTACTTTCAGAATATTGGTCACTTTACTTATGAGTCGATGTCGCCGATGTCGCCGACTCGCCGTGTTCCGCGCGGGACCTTTCAATTCTCGATCCACGATCGCGCAAACACGATCCAGGATCCGGCGTATATCCGTGCATCTGGATTCGTCGTCGCTATAACGCCGATAAACACCACTAAGTACCTATAAAATTAAATACCCTGACGACAAAAGAATAATGCTTGAACAATCACGAGGAAGAAGCTGTAGTCGCGATACGAAACGACGTCTGTCCACGAGCATCCTCTCGTTAAACTTTTTGACCTTTTCCACAAGAACGCGACCCTTTAACTCGCACAGAACGACACACCGCTCGCCGAATTTGTTGCGTATCATCGCCATTTAAACCGTTACGTCTCTCTTACACGTTCTATCTCGTCTCGGTGAAACAAGGTGCAAGACTATTTCAGGAAACTTTGTGTCTTTACTTGATACTACGAAATTTCTTCGAGCATGTGCCCTGGAAACTACGTCGCCCGCGTTGTAAGCTTCGTGTAAACGCCGCCATCCATAAATAATGACGATTGAACTCACGCTTTTCTCGACATTTCCATTTCGTTGAATTTCCGCTACATTGCTTGCATTACATTTCTACAAATGATATGGTATCATTGTTAAATGTTCCGATTTAAAATTGCAAATTTTTAGCAAAAACAAAAAGTGTTCGCCACATTTAAATATGCGACAAAAAATATCGATAATTTTCTGGAGCAAAAAGTATTTCTGGAGTGTTTGAAATTAAATAATTGCAAATTTTTTCAATTTTGCATTATACAAGCTTACAATTTTTAAATTTACAGTTTAAAGACGATATATTCAAAGCGATATCACAAGCCACGCGCGATTTTACGAAATCAATTATTTTAAATAGCTTGTAAAAATGTTGAAAATAATTTTTATTTGCAACATAGCCATCATTCACGCGAATTCCAAATATCGATATGTACATTTTTCCGCAACATCTTACAACATATTCGACACAAGCATGTTGGCTTCTCTGATGGCAGTAAATATAAAATTGTTTTGCCTCACGTTTTGCATCACGCCGCGAGACCTAGTTTACAACGCCAAAATCACGTAAAAGGATCAAATGAAATTTGAAGCCTCTGGCACAACGGAATAATGGCATTCAGTTTAACGGAATTTACGCAATAAAAGCTGTAAAAAGTTCTCTTGCTTCGTGCCTTGCACATATACGCACACAACAGCCACTCTTTGTTTCATTACGGTAATCAATGTATTGTCATGTATAAGGACAATGGTCAAAACGCAGCGGCGTACTGAGTTTTCACAGCGTTATGTTATACCTTCGTTCATTACGGACTTTATAAAGAAACGAAAGGATATCTAGGTAAAAAAATATCGTTAACTTTAGTAATATGGAACAGAAGCGATTAAAAAAAACGAAAATATCCGGAAATCTTGTTACGCGTGCAATACTCAGTCGATTTCAGGGGTATGTTTATTCCGCATTTTTCTCTCGATTTTATTTCCCCGTGTAAAATTAAATTAAAAAGTCTACGTAGGTTTAAAAAAAAAAAAAACAAGGATTACGGTCTATGCCATTCCGAGTTGTCAGCGAGATGATTCTGCCCGTTATTCGACGCGCGTGCATCCAGGATCCGTGCGCTGAAAAAAAGGAAAAAAAAAAGTTCTGCTCTGTCTTCGTTTGTAGCTCATTTACATCGTTCGCGAGACGAATAAAGTACGTACGTACGTAGCAACGTCGAAGAATACGCACGACTGCTCTCCGTACCTACACACACACACACAATACGCGCGCGCGCACACACGCGTATATCATAGATGTTCTTACTTTTTATCCCACGCGAGCAACTCGAATCTTTTCAGTCTCGTCGGACAAAAATTACGAACGCTGGACGAAACGAACAACAATAATAAAGCAATGCATTTTATTCACGAACATCGCGCGGCCAATTAATAACGACAACAGTGGTCGTAAATAATTTCTAGAGTGGACATACATATATATATAATATATATAAATATACACACTTCACCAAGAGTAAAATACGTTTAAGAGCACCGTTGACGTTCCGCTCCGTTTTTCTCGTATGCAATTGGGTCATTTTTACGCGCGTATGCCGTGCACATAAATCACTGGAATAAAGAAACGGACACGTAACGCATATACGCAAACAAATACACACGTATATACAACTGCACACACACACACATGCACATGCACAGTGCGCGCGAGACAAAGATGCACACGCACTTCACAGCGTACGAAGTATTGTATAATGTACTAACGCTCCATTTCTGAGTAAAAAAACCGTTCCTCTCAATGCGGGCGCGGAATTCATTTTACATCAAGTTTAATCTATAAAAGTCTTCCATTCCTTCCTCGGCGTGTATTCGTCTATGTCTATATATTCGGCCGACTATAGTTACGGACACACAGGAACGTACCGTGAAGCGTAATTAGTAAACAGAGAGAAAAAGGGGAAACAGACGAGGAACCGTTTGCCGTTCTCGCCGCATTTTCGCCTAACGAACGACGATGGAACAGCAATTTTTATCGCGGTCATAGAACGGTCGATTCATCGATATCGCGGGACCGGGTTACCGTTTATTGAAAAGTTCCAATATTGTTGATTAAATATGTCCTTCATTTTAAAGCAATTTGACGAGAGCAAACAAATACCGCTTATATTTCTTAAAATTGCTCGTTCTTACAAAGGCAAGCGTGCATGCAATATTTCCGCGAAATGTCATTCGCGACGTGATGCGTTTTATGCATCGCAATTTAAAAAGAAATGTGTTTACAACTGTTTAATGCAGATGACAATGGGAAATGGAGAATACACAAAATTGTGCGGGGAAAATGGTCTCTCTCTCCGCCACAAAGAAAGATGATGAATCAAGAAGAAGCGCGGAACGCACAACTTAAATCACGTTGAGAATAAAATGGAATTTTCATTCGTTTTGCGTGTTTCCCTTTAAGCGTTGTTTATTATCGCCGGTACGGACTTATTTATCGGAAACGAAGGAAATTCTGTCTTACACAACGAATTTAGTTGTGCCCGGAAGCGATCGGAGGACCAATTTGCGCCGTCAAGAAATTTGCGCGAAATCCTCGCGATGGTAACGCGTTAAAGCTTTTATCCACTTCGACGATAAACCGTTTCCGCGAAACTTTCCAACAGTCTTCTCTCGCTTTCATTTATAATGGAAGGCTTGTCTTCTTCCGCAGTGCAAGTCTGGTCTCTGAAGAGTAGCCTTTTACGAGATACGAGTTCGCGGTAACTTTGCGCGAACACCGCCCGCAAAATTTTACGCACACACACGATCGACATTATGCAACCGAGAATTACCGTAATGCCAAAATAATATACAAAAAACTTGGATCATATGCAAAATGCTCTTTTCGCTTCGTACGCCGGTTGAACGAAGAGTTGAACGTAGAAAAAATTTCTCTCTGAGTGTTGCATAAATTTTTTATACGGCCCGCTCGTAAAAGCTATCGTAGTTAAAACTTAATGGTAATCGCGTGACAAAAGTCGTAAAAAGTGTCAGCGTTTATCAGTAACTATCTCTTTATCATTATTTACGAGTTACATAAAAAAATAATCTACGACGATTTTGCGGGCAATGCGACGAGAACGTCGAACGAGCATTAGTCCGAAACTTTGAAAATGGAATAAAACGTTTGAATCGCCGAAAGACTGATTTGCGTGGGTTTCCCGATCCGTTTACTCTTCTCGCGACAAAAAGAGGACTGTATTTGCGGTATCCAAAGATAATTCCGAATCTTTCTCGCGCGCTATACGTAAATAACGTTGTCGAAGCGCGAATGGCGTCCGACAAGTAAAAAGCACTGTGAAGAAACGTAATCACGAAAGGAAATCGTGACAGAAACGCGAAACGCGGGCGAAAAAGAAAAATTGCAGAGAATGAAGGCAAAACACGAATGATGAGAAAAGAAAGAGAAAGAGAACGAGCGAGCGAGAAAGAGAAAGATGTGCATTGTACGTTACAAATACCAGTAGCGCACGTTGGTCCGCGATAGCGATAATAATTTTTGTATCTGATAAATCGAACGTGTTAAGGTATATTCTATAACTACTCGCGTATAAGTTCGTTACTTATTAATGAGAAAGAAAAAAAAAAAACGTACACAAAAATGGTGGAACAAATCGACCAACGAGAAGAGGCGGAATCGTTGTAATACTTGCGTAATAATGTTATAAGGCGTTAAAAAAAAAAAATCCGATGGAGACGCGGCGCAGAATGATCGATGCATTAAATGAAACAAATTATTTTTTTCCTATAATACACACAGATAGTACTTCTCTCCGAGCGAGTATTGAGATATCCATACTCTTCCTCGTTGACGCTTAAAGTGAAGGACGGAGAAGGGTGGATAGAAAATAAAGGAAGAGAGATGGAAAGATTGTGTGTGTGTGCGTGCGTGCGTGCGTGCGTGCGTGCGTGTGTGAAGGCGAGCATGGTGAGAGAGTGATGATGCACGAGAGGGAGAGAGAAAGGGAGAGAACGCGGTAATCAAAGTATTTCAGCGATGAGGAAATGCGCGAGATGCGAGAATGGCCGAATAGCTTTACTGATCTACGTTCGCCGTACCTTGTGCTCAAACTGCATGTTCTCAACAATGCGCCATGGACGGGCGATCGATCGATCTCCGCGCGCGGTAATCGAGCATGCGAGATGGATCGAACGCTCGTCGCGAGCGGGTATGCTACGAAGGTCAAGAATACAAGAGTAAACTACGATGTATACTGACATTAAAAAATCTATCAGTACGCTACGACTTGGTTTTATAAAAGAAAGATAAAAAAAAACAGCCTCTCACTGTCTTGTTCTTTGCGACTTTACCACTTCTCCCGCTTGATCCGACTATTCTCCGAAGAAATTACAATGCGAAAGACGAAACGAGCCAGACATCGCTGGGGTCTCCGCTTGGGAGAGGTAAGTAAACGAATTGATTACGAAACTGTTCTTGCCCAAAGAAATTTATCGGCTCGCCGCGCCGGTTAGCTTTTAATCCGTTTTGTCGATATACCGATTATATTTAATGCAGCGGGATTTATAAAGGCTTACGTAAAGCTCCTTACAGTAAAGATCTTCTAACGAAGTTTCCAACGGACGAAACTTGCTAAGTCCGATAATTACGTGCAATGAAAACACCGTCGAACGACGACAAATTATTGGTGTTCTTCACGCAAGACTTGTTAACGCGAAGTTCTCACGACGATTCTTAACGATCGGATGAAAGGATATTTCGAATTCTAGATTTATCTTGTATAGGCAGAATAAATATGCAGTATGTCAAATCAGATATGCGCCTTCGTCGACACGGAAAACTTTCTTGCGCGCTTCACCCTCCAATCGGGATGCGTACACAATTAGGTATGCGTTGCAATTTGCCGTAGTTAGTTGCTTTGATAGCACGTTGGATTAACTTCGAAACCGTTCAGCGAGAAACTAATTGAAGAACTTGTAATTGCGAAATCATTTCTCAATCGAATCGACAATAGACTAAAATACGACTAGTTTTTATTACACTCTAAGAAAAACTTTCCAATTAATCCAATTACGAACTTGTGATGGATCTGGATTCTATTCATTTATAAAAAAAAATTATTTGCAAAATTACATTTTTGATCGCAAAAGCTAAATTTAAAAAATTAAATAAAATTAAAACGCATCTTTAAATAAAATTTTATAATTGCAAATAAATAATAATCTTATTAATTTGTTAAGCTCTAACTTGTGGAAAACTTAATTCAAAACTTTATAATGCTTAATATTAAAAATTATAATTTAAAAAAGTTATTACAAAAGTATTCATATCTATAAAGTATATATGTAATCATAAATTTGTAACATATATTATAATGATTATTATGCTCTGCTCTTAAATTTCAATTTGCAAGAAAAAGTATAACAAAAAATGAAATACGAATCTTACATAACGATGGTCAGATCAGGTTTCCCACAACGCTAAACATTACCCAGCTCGTTTGTTTACGTAACCGTCAAATTTATTAACGAGACGCTTAAGTAGAAGCGCATCTTGTTATTCATGAGATCCGAGATGAATATCGTCGTAATAGATAGGGACGAATACGCGACAACTCGTCCTTGAATATTCCTTGCGCATAATTCACCGTGCGCACGGAGCATAATGTCACCTTCATCATAATAACTCAGAACATGAATGCTGAATTCTCGACGATATGCACTTCCGATCAATGTGTTCCCGCTGTGTGCGGACACAACATGTACGCAACTGGCGCAAGACGGAACGCGCTACCATCCTCGGGATTTGTAATTAATCAATATCAATCGTCAATAAGCAGTTTGGAGTTGCGGTAGTTTGGAGAATCCTCCGTTTCGCCCATCGGAAGGCCGTAGTGTGAAATCGGTCGAGGATAATCAATTTGAGCACACGGAAATCGTGAGAGCGCTCGGCACAGTCTCGTCACTGTATCGGTCTCGCAGGCGGTGTGAGAGAAAATTCTAATTACGTTCGCCCATGAATGTTTTATTGTGAATCCGCATTAATCATATCGCGTGCGATTTATGATCGTTCATATGGCGCTTGAAATATTAATCAAGCAGATTACGACGTAACGAAGGCCGGTCGGCTGATAATCTATACGTGATATCTGACACGTGGTAAATCATGGCAATTAAATCGGTAAGTAAATTTTTTATTAATCATTCGCAATTATCGTCCATGAATCATTAGCGCGATCTTAAAATGAAGGGATAAATTTTTGCTTAATATCCATGTAACATGTTTTTTTTATTGGCTTTTAACTAATGTAAAGTTCTCCAAGTTATTCTCTTAAATTTTTAATCGTGAGAGAGAGAGAGAGAGATAAATGTTATTAAATCACAGCAAGAATGGCACGACAAATATCGTTTCCTGTGCAGACGCAATCGAATTGTATTCTCACCACTGTAAAAGGTCACACTTAATAGAAAGGGACATAGAGCACCTTTCCGTATCTAACAGTGGAAATACCATCTTACTGTTTCTCGTCTTTGGACGTCGACCCGCGCAAACTTTACTCGTTGTAAGTTCGCAGTAAGCCACGATCGGATATACGCAACTCGAAGAGAATCCTATTTGACTTGAAAATTCCATCAAAGGGACTCTGATCGCCACGGTGGTCATTTGACCGAAACTGAAGACGTGGCACGTGGAGCGCGACGACGGGCGGAAATAAGATTCGACTGGATTACCCGCACTGGGTCCCGCCTTACATCGGAGCGGACGACATCGACGTCCGCTGAAAGAAAATAAAGACGTCATTCTTCTCGCCGCGAGAACGAACGAACGGAGAGCGTATCGCGACGAGCGACGGGAATATGGAAAGTTCGCAAAGTAAATTTGGACGAGCGCGGGAGAAGCGAGGACAACTCGATTTTGAGTTTTAATCCAATCCCGCTGTCTCCCGAGTACCCGGACACCCCCGTTGTTGACGTTCCACACGGTATTTTATTCACTCAGCCGTCCCCGTGTCCCACTTCTCTCCTCCGTCCACCTTCGATTTTTCTTTCGTCTCTTTTGTGTAACATCTTCGGTCTGCAGTTCGTCTTCGAAAGTCCGTATTCACGGAAACATCCGCTTTCGGATAACGGCGGTGGAGCAGCCCTTCCGTCCGTAACTCTGATTTGTCGCGCTAGTATATCTCATGTGTGACCACACATGCGCACGCCCTTTCATGTTACTCGAGAGACTTTTCTGGCTCGAAAACGGCAATGAATTTCCCCGCTGAATCGCAGGAAATGTGTACTGCGAGCAACATAACTGCGCATCGAGAATCAACTACTTACGATCGTTGTATTTTTAAACTACTCAACGGAATTGTGCAGAATCTGATGGAAAATTTAAATACTTTTTTAACAATTAAAACAATTTAAATTTTAATCAAAAGAAATAGCGCAATTTTCAACGAATTTAATAATATTTATTTAATATAAATAATATTAATTTTTGTGTCAACTAATTTTAATAAATTACAAATACATGAAAGCTATCACAAGCCCGAGCTAGATCTAGTTGCTCATATATTTTTCCATATAATTTTAATAATTTTAAATTTTTTTCTGTAACTCAATTAAATATCATCTTGTATACTTTGCAAATTAATAAAAAATATTTTATAAAATAATTATGATATGACAGAATTCGAACAATTTTTTATAAACAACTTTTATAAACAATTTTTTATAAACCTTATTTTATATTTTTCAATTTTTAACACATTTAATGTTTAGCAAATATATTCCCTCAAGCGCCACAGAAATTTTCGCAGCGTGAAGTGCAATGGAAAAATACAAGAAATTTCGATGTATCCACTGCGGCGATCGATAGACCAGATCTATCTTCATCGCCATATCTCTACGTAACGACCTGACCTTCCCAGCTCAACAAATGTCTTCTTCGTTCAACAGGGAAAAGAAATTTCAAGCGGGCGAGTGAAATACACTATCCTATATATTGCGTGAGCAACGGGTGTCCTTGATCGGAATAACCCCGCCTGACAGGCGAATCCTCGTCAAGGACAGAAGAAAATCAAAGTGTATATGTCGCAAAAAAACGAAAAATAGGATACCGTGATCCTCGAGGAACACCAGACTCTGCATGACGTTTTAAATGTTTCATGGCGAAACAGCCGGAAAGCAACGTGTAACCAGCTGACTGCAAGTTTGATGAGAATTCAATCCAATTATTGACTCGCCACGCAACACACATTATTTTCCTCGTCGGAAAGAAAGCACTTTTATCTTGTATCTCGGTAGATTTTCGAAATAATAGATCAACGTGGTCGATCTATTATTTCGATGTTGCGATGCAGACTTTGAACTTTGAAGAAATGTATGAAAACAAATGATTTTTATTATGCTGCACATTGAAATAATCATTAATTTTTTTTCTCAAGATAACTTGTCTAATAAACTACTGAAATAAAAATCTCATCGATTACCGTTTCTTTCCGTTATTACCTTTCAACGAGAACCGTTTTAATGAGGAACGAGATAAACAATAATATTTCTGTGGAAATATAGTCTGCCAAGCAGAATTTAAGTCTGCAGGAAAGGCGAAATAGTCTGCTATATGAGAATTCATTTTTATTCTGCAGAAGCGTCTAAAATACGAGAAAAACACTACGATAAAACCTGCTATTTAACTTATTATTAAACCATAATGTAATAAAAATAATCGATATCACTTTGAGCCGCTATTTATTGTATTTTTAATTAAACAAACACTTATTATTTAAGTTGATATTCATTCCGACGTGTACCCAGAGAATTTCTCCACCAAAGTCATTACATTCATAATTTTTTTTGCATATTTGCCCAAGTTCTTCAATTAGAGTCGCAGGAAGAGAGAAAAAAAATCTATCGGCGATGAATTGACGCTTTCTGGGTTGACTTTAACCGCTAGACGATTCGTAAGAAGAAAAATCGATGATAAGGCAGCGCCTTTCGCCGCAATTCCAAGACGTCCGACGAAAGGACGCGCTGTTTACACGTGATTGGATAATGGATCAGAAATTATTCATGTCGCTTGGGAAAATTACTTATTACGCGCGGCCTCGTTGTGTTGACGTATTAGTTATTGACGCGACTAACGTCATGCGCAGATGCACGACGGCGAATTCGACCACGGCGATGAATAAACGGAATAATCGAGTCATATAATTATATTATTTCGGAATCATCCAAATCATCAACTGCGTTACTTGTAACTAACGTTGTTAAACTGTACACGCGTCATTGTTGTTGATACAAAATTTTTAGCTATTTGAA